TGTCAGTAGTTGACAAGATACAAGGTAATTTCTTAATTATTGACATTTTTAATGATATAAGCTCATCACGATGTTACACTCATCAAAAGCTTTCATTTGAGTACCCAGATGCATTTTGATATATTTTTCATATATACATATATATAATATATATAAATATATGAAAAATTGATGTGGGTACTCAAATGAAAGGTCTTGATGAGTGTAACATTGGAATGAGCTTATATCTTTAAAAATGTCAATAGTTCACGAGATACAAGGTCATTTCTTAATTATGTCTCTAGAATTTACTATCGGTGAGAATGATATGAAATTTTGAAAAGGCACAAATTCAAATCAAGACCTTTGCAATGATATTAAATTTCACTAAAAAAACCAATTTTATCATATGACTATCCTGGATACAAAATTTTTGTTATTCTCTAAATAATATAGATTCTTGAATTAAAATAAATATTTTCAAGTCTTAGATCAATTAAAAATGATTTAAAAGAAGGGTCTTTTAAAATATTTTTTTCAATTCAAGAATTTTTTTCTAGTGTGTTATTATAATATAAATTTACTTTATTTTAACTGATGAAATAATTTATTTCAACTAAGAAAATTGTGTTAAAAAGGAAAATCAAGCATTAAGAATAAAAATTCTTAAAAGAAATTAAATATATCTGATTGATCTAAAATTTTTTTTGTTCAAGAGTTTTTTTTCTTGATCAATTTTTATTAATAATGCAATTTTTATCAGTTCGTATTTTATGTTTGTACAAGAATAATTAAATATAAACAGAGTTTTAATTCTGGCTTTTGATAAAATTGATACAGAAAAAAAAATAATGAAAATCTTAGCTGGATTAATATGGGCAATTATTTTGATAACAATGATGGTAAACAAATGATATTTATTATCAAATAAGTGCTTTGAGTGCGTTCTGTATTTCCATTTTGGAAATCTGATATATTTGAATGCTAAACTCGGCAATCAGGGACCTTTTGTTGGGTATCGGGTTCTAAACTGTAAGATCGTTAATACAATAGCACAATCTGAAAGTGAGAATCGAGAAGTGAAGGTAAGTGATACTTGGAAATTTTAACGAGATCCATTGAACAAAATAATTTTTAGGTTGTAAAATAGTTTCTCCGGGGTCGATTCAAGTTTATCTAAAAAATATAAATGTCTCTGTTTTTCTGGACCTGAATAGCAGACCAAAATTAAGCAATTGACGTTTTATAAATGGAAGACGTGACTGCGTTCATTAAACAATCATGAAACAGACGGTTTGGTGAAGAGACAGGCTATTTTCCGGTTTATATTGAGGTTACAATTTATACATTGGACGCTCGGATGAAGAATTTGAAATGAAAAAGTTTGTCTATTTATTATTACAATTTATTAAAAATAAAGTTTTTAAATATGGAAATAAGAGAGATTAAATTCTTATAAGTTTAACGAAATTAGTAGGTCGGAAACAGGAACAATACAGTTTTATATAAAGAGGATTAAATTCTTGGGACAATAAATCCGTGGGAGAAAAAATTTTAATAGTGTAGTAGTCCATTTCTTTAGTTTTATAATTTATTCAAGTTATAACTATACTCTTTACAATATTCGAATGAAGTTAATTAAATCTCACAATAAATAATCAATCCTGTAGAATATAGTTATCAGTAAATGATACAATAGATAGTTCGTGTATAAATAATAATGTCAAGATAGTACTTCGCGATTACAATAATACAATAAATAACATAAAGGAAAATAGGACCAGTGTCCTAGATCGTAGATGTGTGTATCTCAGAGGCTGAGGAAAATCTGCCTCGTGCCCCTTGACTCTTGAGGGTGTTAGCCTTTGCTAACACTTAGCGTTGTTCTTGGGGTCCCGTGACGTCATGAGCCTCTTGAATGCCGGGGAAGGGATTTTATGGCCCAAAGAGTACAGTGGTTGACGAAAAGTTTCGAGAGTGGAAAAATACTCCCACAATAGTTACTCAATAGTTTTTCTCTTTAGTCCAACTTTTTCAAAGTTTTGTGTTGTAGTAAAAATCCTGATTAAATATTTAAGCTGTGATCCGATAAAAAACACGTATATTTTTTTTTAGATAAAAATAATTCCAAGTCTCGGAAAAATATTTAAATTAAAAAGAAAAAAATTTTTTTATAATCAAAATTGACTAATAAATTTTGATAAAAATTTTTAATTAAAAATTATCAATGAAAATATTGTTTTTTAGCTAAAGAATAACCCAAAAATTTTCGAACAAACGAATTAGAACTCTAGACCCCCCTTGGCCGTTATCATCCTTCGGAGGCTGCCAAGAGTTATTAATTTAATTAATATTCTTACCCACTTGGGCCTTCTACTTGATTAACTTGCGGCTGATTAATTGCCCGTTGTCGATCATCACGAGTGCACGTTTCTATAAATGAAGCCAAGTCTCTCGAGGATCATTGACACGCGTCGCTCCCAGTTCTCCAGACCTGAATTTAGTTGATGTTGATACCGCCAGTGCCAAGGGGAGGGCAGGAGCAAGAGCAAAAGCGGTTACTGTTGCCCTTCCCGATCCTGCTAGTCTACTGTCTACAGACACCGCCATAACGATCCAAGGAACCCACCACCGCACGAATACCCCGTCTTACCCACGCATCTCGCATTCTCGAAATTTCTAGCATACTCCATATTCTACACCCCTACCAATACATACACGCATTACACACACCCAAGTGCGGACTGGGACGGATTTGGTCACCAAAAATTAAATTAACAATTTTCAAAATTTTTTTAATTTTTTAATTTTTCAAACAAAACATTAACATATTTTTTGTAAACTTAAGAATTTTATATTTAGATACTCTAAATAATCAATAAATAATATCTACAAATTTTTAATCAACAAATTATCTAAAGAAGAAAAATTTGAGAATTTTTCCAAAACAGCGCATTCCCCAAAATCTTTAAGGGGCACAACCAGTGTGAAATTTTCAAAAAATCGATTTTTTTTCATATTTCGATAGATTATACTTTTAAAAATAACATACTCAAATTTTAAATTGATATCTCAAATAGTTTTTGAGTAACAGCCATTTAAAGAGTAGCCACTTTCGAATTTGCTGGAGTGATTACTCGAAGACAAATGATCCAATCACTACTAAATTTTTTTCTGCATGTTCTGTATATAATTCTCCATACGAATATACCCTCTAGTTTTTTTATCTGATCAAAAATTGAATTTTGGCAGGCCAAAAACGACCAAAATTTTGGGTAAAATTCAACTTTTTTTTTTAAATGCCGCCATTTTGTCAATTTTTGATATTTTTTTTCGACCGTGGGTCAACATACGGACAATGTCTTCTAGTTTAACAAGAATTGTTTAATTTTTGGTTTTACCCACGGAGAAAGCAGGAATCATGGTAGCAGTGGAGGACTTTTTTTTTTAGCGCCTTCGGAGATCGCGTGTAACTCGGAAAATATTTAATTATTTTTTTCAAAAATTTGACTGTATATTCTTAAAATATGTATTAATATACCCTTAAAGTGTTAAAACAATTCATACAGGATTTTTTTTTATTTTAATTCCCAAAAATCGCCTTTTTTCAGGCTTTCACACTGATTGTGCCCCTTAAGCTGTCATATCTTTTGAACGTGTGTTTGATTTTGATTTTCTCAACACCAAAAAGTGTATACAAGGTTTTGACTCGATTAATCCTATAGTTCAAAAGTTATCTCAAAAAAAACTTCTAACTTTTTAAATATTTTTTAAAAATAGAAGAAAATTTTGTAAATTGTCAAAATGATTTTTTAAAGCTTAATAAAAATATAAAAATTTAATAAAAAGTGAATTTTGTGAAATCCAACAGATGTATAATATCCAAACTTTTAAAAGCTTAATAAATTTCAAAGAAAAAAATGGATGAAAGGAATAATAACTAATTTGATATCTTTGATCTAAAAAAATTGAAGACTTCCAGTGAGCTCAGAGGGTTGAAATAAAATTAGAGTAATTAATGACTTGATGAGGATTACCATCATACAGTATGAATTATTAATATAACTTCTATCAGGAATATCCTCTGAAAAGTTGGTAAATCTCTTAAATAATTAACACGAGAATCGAAAATTTGTAACTAATGGAAATATAATTGAGTAGTTACTTCGACATGTTTA